CGAACCCAGCCGGTCCGGTACCGGAACCGCCGGTGTGGGAACCGGAACCGGTACCGGCCGGCACGGTGACGGTTCCGGTTACATGGGGTGGCGGTACCGGAACCGGAACCGTCCCGGAACCATACCGTGTCCACCCCTACTTGTGTCCTTGATGCCACCTGTTTTGGCATATATCCTCAAAACTTCTCCTAGTCTTAATCATTTCCTATATCCTCAAAACTTCTCCTAATCTTAATCATTTCCTTCCAGTCTTCCACTAGTGACACAAGACCAACTTAGGAATATAATCCTAAAAGGTAGAATTTTTGTAATTGAAATTTTAAAGTGGTATTCCATCTAGTTGGAGTTGAAATTTTTTATAAATAATATTTTCGACTTAGAGGGATTAAAACCAATATTGAATGGTTTTACAGAACTAAATACATATTTAATCAATTTTATTACTAAAAACAAACCGTTTAGGTAAAAGACGCAAAGACTTAGGACGAGTTTGGTAAAAATATTAGACGCTACAAAAAAATTGGGTTTTTGTTGCATCAAAATTTACCATAAATATTTTTTCTAATGGGGTATTTGTGGTAATTAATGCTCCGTAGAATCTACCAAAATTTTACTCCGTATTATAATTAATATAATATATTTTTGGTTTTTATGGAGTAGAATTTACTTTTAGTACTTCTAAATATGAAGTATTTATTTGTAATTTATATTTTCAAGTGGTATTTCCATCGAGCTGGATTTGATTTTTTTTATAAATAGAATTTTCTAGTAAAATGGATTTAAACTAATATTTGATGGTTTTACAGGAACTAAATGCATATTTAATCTATTTTAATTTGTTTATAAAAAGAAGTGCTCTCTTCGTCCTAAAATTAACTTCAATATAAAAGATGTAGAGACTTAGGCCATCTTTGGTAACATCATTAGAGTTTAGCGTTAACATTTAGTTTTATTAATAAAAAGATACTACACATATAAAAGACGACAATACGTTGAGACTTATGCTAAAAAGCTAAAAAGCGTCAAATTTGACTATTAAAAAATCAAAATTAGACTAACTAATTGTAGGATGTTAGGAAGCAAATTATATCATACATCCGGCTGTACGGTTAGAACCGTACAGCCGGCTTAAATCCCTAAGGAGCGCGACGAGACCCGATTTGGAGAAGAAGAGATGGAACGGAAAATTGATGTTGGAAGAATCGGCCACCCACCTCTGTCGCGCCTCTGTTCTTGCTCGTTGGAGAAGATGCAAAGGCCGTCGATGAAGGGATGCTAGTTCTGCTTTCTAATTGTCGGGTCGATCCATTTTGCGTTCTAATTGGGGGAGAGGAAGCAGGCGCAAATGGCGGTTAAGGTATGTGGAATTAGTACAATCTCTAGGGATAGAACTAATTGTAAAGATCAGCCGATAGTAGTATGAACAATTACTTTAATTCACAATGAGTACTATCTTATTTGAAAATGAGTACTAATTTGTTTTAGAATGAACATTACTTTATTCGTAGCTGAATATTATGATTGTTTTAAATAAATGTATGAAAATGAGTACTACTTTATTTCAGAATGAGTATTTAGTTATTTCAGAATGAGCACCACACTATTTCAAAACTAATATATGTTGATACGAGAATGTGTACTATTTATTTTAGAATGAGTACTATCTAGATGTACCTATTTTCTAGATGTACCATATACACTCGCATGTTAGGAGTATAATTTTGATTTAAAATGAAAAGTATGTGAAAAAGAAGTATGGAGTAACTCCAAATAAGGTTGATTACTCCGATCCGTACGTAGCAATTAAGTCAATGGGAGTAAAGTGCGTAGCTTTGTAATACTCCGTATTGGTCATTGCAATAAAATGACTAAACTAGCCTTCAATTCCTAGGTTAAGTGTAGTAGCCGCCAAACAAACATTTCCCATACCTATCTATGTTGGAAACGAAAGGATCAGATTGTATTAACTGGCTCAAATTTTGTATTACATGATTAACTCTTATATATAGAAAATGAAAAACAAGTAACAACCAAAAATATCTTCCGAACTAACTAACAAACTATGTAACTAATCAAGTAAACAAATGCTAAATGGTGGTTTTCACCAACACCTCCCCTCAAGTTGAAGGTGGGAACAACTTCAACTTGCAATGGAATAAAATCTGTGTTGACTTCAATGTGTATGTAGATGAAAAACCCGTTGACCAAAACAGTAAGCTTCTGGTTTAGGATCTTTTCTTTGGTTTGAACTTTGAACTCTCTGCAGCATCACTCTTCATTGATTCTTCAACAAGTTTCATAGGATAATTGCTTCTTTCCACCAAATAGAAGCTTGAACAATGACTCCTATTGTGATGTTAGGATGTTTCTCTTCCTTTTCAAGTACATCCAGGAATTTGCTCTTGTGTTCTACCAATTTGATCATTGCTGCTGGGGCTTGTACTGCCATTGTGACAAAACCACTTGATACTACATCAATGAGGATGCAACCTAGTGTAGTAGTGCCTTTGGGAAATCCAAAAAGCCTATGGGAAAGCTTCACAGAGGGCAGCTTGAGTGAAGCAATCTGATCGCTTGATCATGAGCCTGAAGAATCATTTCAAAGTTAAAAGACTGCCCATTCCAGAGAGTAAATTCACCGCTTTGAGATCCAGTAATAAGACGTCTCCCAGTAGGTGTCCACACAACACGATTAATTAAACAACGATTTTTGTTTAGGGATGTATGAACAAACTTTGCAGCAAAACTGGTGGATGGGTTATCAGAATAGGCAACTGTGGTAGCATATCAACTGCAGCTGCAGGGGTAGGTTGCAACACAGTTCTGTCCCTTGAGTGAAGCATTTGATGGTCTTTGGAATATCTCTTTTATTGACATCCATCCAGCAACGTGAATCATGCAACAACGGATGATGAAGATGAGATGACAAATCAATTGATGAATTCACACGAAAACATCAAAGGATGAAATGAAATCAATTGACAAAAGCAATTGATGAAATCAACCAAAAACCGGATGATGAAGAAAGTAAAACTCGATCAAAACGATACGAGTGAAACTCGATCAAAACGATACGAGTGAAATTGATCATGATGAAACTTCTGAATTTACAGAAGTGAAAGAATGACTGAAACTAATCATTCCAATCATGAGAATGAAAATGAAGTTGGATACTCAATTTGAGAACCAACACAATGAACAGAGGATCAATATGGATCAACTGTGATGAAACCTGATTTGGAGAGATTAATAGACAGAGATGGCGTCAAATTGAAGTTTTCTCCACTCGAATTGACATCCATTGATGATTTATCAACAGAAAATTAGTGGACAGCGAAGGCTTAAGTTTCTGGTAGCTACGGGAGCGAACAGAAATGCTCTTTGGAAGCTGGACTTGGTTTAGCTCTTGATCACTTCTCTCTAGCCGGTGTTGCTCTGTGGCTCTCAGCGGTGGCCTGACATTTGGAGGTTTTGGTTCCGCGACGAGAGCGCCGCCGCGGACAGGAGTGGCCCGAGCACGGATACCTAAGTGACTGAAATCGGAGAGGAGGCAATTCTGGATCGCCGCCTGAGAGAGGAGACTCAGGCGGTTGGCCAAATCGACGTTGGCCAGATGAAGAGCCTCGTTCTCCCGATGGAGCAAATTGACCTCCTCCAGAGATTCATGGAGGTTAGCGAGACAGAGAGCGTAGCGATTGTACTGGTACTCAAGGACGAAATTGACCTGGAAAAACCGGCGTTCAGTTGGAATTGCTTCAGCTTCTTTATTCGAGTTCTCAGATGGAGATCGAGAATCGCGATCCAAGATCAAGGAGAAATCCTTCCTTGCGTAGTCGGCTGAGTCGTATGACGACGATAGAAACGGGTTGCAACCGTAGTTTGGTGATGAGGATCCGCCGGAGAAGGAAATCTCAGCGGTGGAAACGGATCGCGACGTCGAGCTGGCGGAATTACGGCCATCAGATGCAGAATTATCCTTCGCCATAGCAACCTACCAAGGGATCTCCTGCTCCGGTCGGTTTTGAGTCGGAGATAGAAGTGGACGGCGGAGATGAAGTTTATGATGAGTCGGTGATGAGATGATTGCTTGGAGCTATAGCAACCGGAGCTCTGATACCATGTTGGAAATGAAAGGATCAGATTGTATTAACTAGCTCAAATTTTGTATTACATGATTAACTCCTATATATAGAAAATGAAAAACAAGTAACAACCAAAAATATCATCCTAACTAACTAACAAACTATGTAACTAATCAAGTAAACAAATGCTAAGTGGTGGTTTACACCAACAATCTATCTGATGATTCCACATTTATATAGGAATTTGGTAACCCTAATAAGAAGGGTAATTAAATGAAATATGTTCTTGAAATTAAAGTACATAATTTTACGCTAATTACCCCCCGCCGCCGACCTAATGAAAGTAGCCACTGCACATATATATAAAAGAGTAGCGTATTATGCATAAAAGTAGGTTTAATATACACTAATTAACATGAAAATCATCATTCCATCATCATCATCAAGAGTAGAAAGCATGGGTTCCGGTCGCCGCCGTGAAGATCAAGAAGCCTTGATGCCGCAGAGTTCGCTCGTCGGCCGGAAGAAGCTCCACTTGGTCCTCGACTTGGACCACACACTTGTCCACTGCGTCCCCGTCTCCAAACTCACCGCTCAAGAATATTCCGCAAACATGAAGAAGACGATGATCAGCAGAAACCCCCCCGCCGCCGGAGACGGAGACACCCACCTGCTCGACGGCGGCGCCTTGGTTCTCAAATTCCGGCCAGGGGTCCGCTCGTTCTTGGAGGAGGCCAGCGCCATGTTCGACCTGTCCATCTACACCATGGGCACCCGCCACTACGCCAACCAGGTCGCCAGCAGACTTGTCGTCCATCACGCTTCCCGTGGAGGAGGAGGAGGAGGAGGAGGATTGTTGTCGTTCGCGAAGGTGATATCGAGGGAGGACTGCACGGTGGAGAAGCAGAAGGGGCTGGACGTGGTCCCGTCGCACCGGAGGGCCGTGCTGGTGGTGGACGACAAGCCCAAGGTTTGGGCGAGGGAGGACAGGGACAACGTCGTGACCATCTCCCCTTATTACTTCTTTGGTCTCAACAAGGAGGGCAAAGATGAAGAAGAAGAAGACAAGGGAGAGCTTTCGAGGGTTCTTGGAGTTCTGAGGGAGGTTCACTCGAGGTTCTTTCAAGAAGACGATGGTGGTGTTGGTGGGAGAGACGTGGCGCAAATCTTGAAAAGGGTTCGATTGTTCATGCTCTATCACGGCCCTCCCGATGTGTCGTTGTTGCATCATCATGGCCGCCGTCGTCGTCGTCAAGAAGAAGAAGAAGAAGAAGAAGAGAAGGAGGAAGGAGGCCGCGGAGACGGTTGGAGTAAAATCAAGAAGATCAAGATCGTGTTCAGATCGGGAACGTGCGGGTTGGCGTCGCCGCCGCCTATAGCCACCACCACCACGGCGACAATTCTTTGATGCCCGAAGCGAGGGAGAGAATTGGGAGAAGATCAAGTACAAGATCATCATCATCAGCATCAAGAAATTGCGGCGGCATGAGGCCGGCCGGCCAAGGGAATGCGCGCGGGGGCATGCATGGCGGATACCATATCCATGGCGGCAAAGGCTGCAGGAAGAAGAAGATTATCAATTATTGCACCTAGTGTACTACTTTTGAAATACTTTTGTAATATTATTGTCATTTTAGTTTAGGGGGTCGGGCAAAAATTATAAGCCCCGGTCTGGGTTTTCTACGGTTCTTTCCCCGACCGTAAAAGAGAGAGTCGAACCGCAGGGTCCTTAGATAATCTCTAATAAAAAAAATGAAAGTTAAATTTTATTATTAGTGTCTTTCTCATACCCTAATTTTTATTCTCTTTCTCAATCTAACCCTCTTCCCTCAAACAAATCTCTCTCTTTGACACCGTCGTATCTTTCCAATTCTTTCGCGTTGGTGCACGAATTGGAGGCCATGCATTAGTACGTTTCCGCCCGTCTCAACAAATGAATTGTAGGGGTATGAATGCAAAAGGACTTTGTTATGTACTCCGGGACAATCCAAGGTAGGGATGGCAACGGGTCGGGTTCGGGTCGGATAGTACTATACCCGAACCCAACCCGACGTTTTAAGCCAAAAACCCGACCCGACCCGAACCCGACATTCCAACCCAAAACCCGAACCCGACCCGAACCCGACTTTTAACCAATAATCAATTCAATGTACCCCAATAATTTTAAAAAGATTAAATCTAATTTTTTTTGTGTCTCATTTTTTTATTAAGGAATTATAAAAATGATTATAAATGACATACTTGATATAGTAGCACTTTGTCAAGAGATTATACGAAGTGCTCATTATATCTATAGATAGGCTTTTATGTTATAAAATATTCGGGTTTGAGTCGGGTCGGGTGCGGGTGCGGGTCGGGTAAAATAATAAACCCACACCCGACCCGACCCGATGTCGGGTTCGGGTAAAAAATTTCGGGTCGGGTTCGGATTATTTTATTCTCGGTTCGGGTTCGGATATTTTAGTGGTCGGTCGGGTCGGTTAAGCTCGGGTTCGGGTTGAATTGCCATCCCTAATCCAAGGTACGGAGTATATAAATAATTACATCATATCATGATAATGGTCTTCACAATTGTTTCTTGAGTAAATAAGTCAAAAGCCTATGCATATCCAAGAATTGTACTCTCTCCGTCCCGTGAAACATTTCTCCTTTCTTTTTTTATCCGTCCCACAAAACACTTCTCATTTCTATTAAAAAGTCACTTTTATCCCTTACTTTTTCATACCCTAACTATCACATCATACCTTTTTACTAATAATCTATCCATCAAATCATACTTTTACCCATCACATCAAAGGACATTTTTGGAAATCTCTCCTAAAAAGCAAATGTCCCATGTTTCACGGGACGGAGGGAGTAAAAAACTCATTGATTGATGAATATTCTTCATATGCTATTTGCTAATGAATATTCTTCAAAACGAACAACACTCCAACCTAGCTAACCTCGCCAAGCTTCACTCGAACATAAATTAAATGAAGAAGACCCACAAGTTAAAGGACTAAACTCGATAGGGATTACTAGCACTCTCACAAATTAAAGAAAGTGACAGAATACACTGCCCTGCACTCACAAAGCAAGACCCAAAAACTANCCCCCCCCCCCCCCCCCCCCCCCCCCCACACGCAGCACACACACAACAATACCTAAGCAAGGATATTTATTTTTATTCTGGATAGATGTTGCTAGTTATATTATATGCGTAATTCTCCCTCCGTGATTTTAGTATGATTGGCTAGTATCATTGACAAGTTAGGAGGTGCGGAGTACAGGCTCACTCAATAATATTCTAAATTCATAGCAGGAGTCCCAGGGACAGCAACCACATGTAGTGGGGTCCAAGGGGTGGCATCCCTTAGCCGGGGTCGAGCTGATTTTTTTTTATTTTGGATATTATTGCTTTATGAAAATCATTTATGGTCCGTTTGGTACACGGAATTGATGGAATTGGAATTAAAATTCCATGGGATTCAATTCCATAGAATTGAATTCACCAATTCCAATTCATTTTTTGCACTAGCAATTCCAAATCCACATAATTTTTGTGCAACCAAACGTGAGAATTGGAATTGAAGTCTTCAATTCCAATTCCATAATTTGAATTCCGTGTACCAAACGGGGCCTTATGGTATATTTGGGAACATGGATTTGGATTTCAAATCCAAATTTGGCTCAAATCCATGTTTGAAAAACTTAAAAAATTTGAATTTAGATTTAAGTCAAATTCTTCTCATTCAAAACAAAGCTTAATTTGAAATACATGCTCCTCCCCTTGTCATTTAAAATTCAAGATTTTAAATTTTAAAATTGAAATGCATGAATTGAAATGAAATGCAAGTTGCCAAACACTACCTTAGATTTTTTGTGAATGGAGTCCAAAAAATTCAAAATTAAACGCTCGAAAATAGGCCAAACCACACACAACTTTTCGTTGTAAGGATGCATTTTCACATGAATGTATCTAATAATGTCTTTTCATTTCTAGAAATATAGAGACGTAGGTATGGGTTGAGATAGACAAATTCGAAATGCTTGTTCTTGTTGGTGTATTGTCTCACTACACTCACTGTTCTGATATGCACTAGGTTCCACGAGTAGTGATTAAGAAGGGAGCAAAATGATACAAATAAATTAGCTAGCAATGATATATATGATCTTCTTTTCACATATGTGAAATCTGAGTAATACACCATATATTAAAATTAATAATGCTTATTTACATTCTGACACCTTATTTTAACTTTCAAGGGCTACCCTCCACTCGCTCCTATGAGAAGGAAAAAAAACACTACATACAAAATGAAAAAAAGGCCCTTTAACTATATTTCTTGTATATAATACTATGAATGAAGGATATATAGGACTTGTCATGGTCCTAGCTCGATCGGCATAGATTGGCTTCTTCATTAAGCATCTACAGATCTTGATGGTGGACCACAAATGCTCAATACCACCTGCACCATATATATATATATATATATATATATATATATATATATATATATATATATATATATATATATATATATATATATATATATATATATATATATATATATATATATATATATATATTTAACGACTAAAATCCACCATTGGTCCTTCAACTTTATCAGTTATGCACGATTGGTCCTTCAAGTTTCAAAAGTCCATAAATAGTCCTTCAACTTTATGCGTTCTGCACCATTGGTCCTTCAAGTTTCAAAAGTCCATAAGTAGTCCTTCAAGTACATGTCAGCCCTCCATATGAAGTCCTTTTGACAGCAAATATTAAAAGTTAAACGAAATACTAGTTTCATATAATACGAGTAAATTCCACTAGATACGACTACTCTGTATTATATGAAGCCAGTATTTCATTTAGCTTTTAACATTTACTGTCAAATGGACCTCATCTGGAGGGCTGATATGTACTTGAAGGACTATTTATGCACTTTTAAAACTTGAAGGACCAATCGTGCATAACTCATAAAGTTGAAGGACTATTTATGGACTTTTAAAACATGAAGGACCAATCGTGCACAATTGATAACGTTGAAGGACCAATGGTGGAGTTTAGCCTATATTTAACACAAACACACAGCTCAAATATATTACTACTGTGTACTCCATCCGTTCCACAAAACTCTTCCTCTTTCGTTTTTTTTGCTTTCCACGTAACACTTCCACTTTCTATTAAAAAACCACTGTTACCCCTATTTTTTCATACCCTACCTATCACATCATACTTTTTCACTAATAACTTAACTATCACATCTTACTTTTTCCCATCACATCAGGGGCAAAATTGGAAAGTCAACCAAAATTACACTTTCCTTATTTTTCCCCAAAGTCAAAACCGGAAGGGTTTTGTGGAACGGAGGGAGTATTACTTTATATATATTGGTGCACACACACACACACACACACATGGTTCACAATGGACCAATCTTTAATTGTTCTGTAAATGGGACAGTTCCAAAAAAGAAAAAAAAGAATGCGTCTTACAGGTAAGAAGATGAGGCCATGTAGAAAACCAAGAAGAACCAAAGCAAGGTACATTTGGAAATAGTAAACCTGCAATTAAATATACCTAAAGTGATTAATTCAACTCTTATAAAAAACAAGTATAAGGCTTTATTATTGTAGTGTATTGTATTCTATTCTATAGTTAACAAGAAAAACTTCTTATGCGTACCACAAATACTTCCGAGCGTGCGAAACACAGGACGATCACCCCAACAAGCTTTGTGAGCGTGATACCACTGCAAAATAGTAATAAAAAAGAGGTAATATAATGGGAACATATTCTTTTGAGGTGAGGTGGAAAAATAGTTCATTCTCAACTACTACTTCAACTCCATGGATATGCTCCGTAAAATAAAAGTGCAGAAACAAAAGGAAGGCGAAAAAACATGGGGAATTGAGAAGGGAGAAGTAGTCCGAACCTAAATACGGAAGCTCCCATTGTCGTCAATGCCTCCTTCATGCGTTGGTTCCTATCTCCACTGCTAATCTGACATTCCATTTTCAAATCACAAACTATTACTTAAAACAAATGAAAAGATATATCCACACACAGAAAAAGGAGGCCTCCGTCCCAAAATGAAATCCTTTTTTTGTCCCAAAAAAATACTTATGATCTCTCTCGCTTCTCAAAAAATTTCAACCACTCACCTTTCACTTATCAACCATCAAAGTGTACGTAAAGTCATTTTTGGGTGGGAGGGAGGGAGGGATGGAGTATATGTTACGTTAGTCAAGGTTGAATACTGAAGGTGTTTTGATTCTTAAGCATGACGACATACAAATAAAGGCTTGCGAAGCAACACCTAATATAACCCCAGGTAGGGAAAACTTAGTGCGTCCAACCAAGGAAAACAAGCAACCAATAAGATATATACAAGGGAAAGAAGAAGAGACTACTTCAAAAAAAGAAGAGACTGACCAGAAAAGCGTGTGTAATGTGCACACAGAACTCAACAGCAATACCCACTGACATTACAAGGTTAACAACCGATACTGCATTTAGTTGGATATTTAGGATCGCCATTACGCCCTGCAAAATATAAATGTGTAAAAAAGACAGAATGATAAAGATGTGCACTGCACCACTGCATTAGAGATTCTAAAGAAGCTAGTGTACCATCATATCCACTACGATCATCACCAGCACAAGTAAGATAATTGCTGAAGTCCAGAAACTGTTTTTCAAGAATCAATGTAATTACAAACTTAAAGAAGATGAAAAACAGTGCTTTGGAAATTTATATAAAGAAGAGATTACTAAGTAAACTAACCTGCATGTAATGGCGAAGCATACTACAAATACAGCACCTAGTCAAATAACATGCAGAAAAAAAGGTTTTAAAAAAAGTAACTAGGAAATCCGGTGGGGGGGGGACTGGTTGGAAAATGTCTCAAATCTTCAATTTCCCAGAACAATATCAAGGCTCATCAATATATGTGCTTAAGTAGAATACCATATATAATAAGGTTCAAAAATATATCATTGACAAGGTGCAACTGTATAAGATTACTAACCAATAGCTATGGCAAGGTCTACTAACGCTGTCCTCCATATGTCAAGATATTGCTCAAAGAATATATAAAATACAGAATAAGGAAAGACCTCCATCTGCATCACAGAAAATACCCAGACAGTGAGCATGAACACACACTTGTATAGCCCACCTTTTCAATGTACTGACATATGGTTGGGGAAATTACAAAAGAAAATAACAGTGTCCTCACAGTTTCTAGAAGTTGAAAGGTCTGAATGTACAAAAGTAGATTAATAGAAAATCCTTTAGATTTAAAGTGTTGTGCAACAACAACAACTACCCAGATGAATCCCACAAGAGTAGGTTTGGGGAGGGTGTGTGTACGCAGACCTTGCCCCTACTCAAAAGTAGCGAGGCTGTTTCCAAAGAGACCCCAGATCAGCGTCGAAAGTTGCATTGATTGATTAACTGCTACTTCATTAATTAAAGAAGCGCAAACAGTTTAGAGATCCACTTAGCCCATCACACCCCAAAGTCAAAAAATAGTGAATTTTTGGCTCCATCGGAGATGATGGACAAAATAATTAACGTGTTGTGCATGGAAAACAATTATGAGCTACTACAAAAGAATATGAATACCAAACTCTGACAGAAAACTCACCTTCAAAGAATCAGAAACTCTAGAAGCAAATTCCCGGGCAGCCCTCATTGAGTTAACATAGTCAACCTAAAAGAAATATATAAAAAAAGCTGAATTAATAGAGGAACACTAAATGAATTCAAATGAGAATTTTAAACCGTGAATTGCATACTTGCTTGTTGAGAGGGGTGTGAAATGTACGAAATGCCGATGCTTGAATAACACCATTTTCATAGCCTATAAGCAGAATGGAACCCAGTTAGCCAAGCTAAACGAATCAGAATAGGGGAAGGTAATAAGTGAAATCTTGATTCAGACGATTAAAGTATTTAGCACAACCTTTGAGCTCAACGTTGTTAGTGTAAGCCCCATTACCACCTTTTGCACAATCATTAGAAGGTAAAGCACTCAGGAACCACGGGAGTTTCTCTTTGAACTGTTTAGTTGTTGGGCGGCCGTTGGCTAAATCTGAGTGAAGAAAGCACTGAAAATTCCAAGCGTCAGTCATAGATCTAAACTTAACCCTAGCATTTGTAAAAAAAAAACTCACATAACACAGTTAACATGGAAATAACATATCATATTTGTTAACTTTTCAATGCAACCCGAAAAAATAAGAGAAAATGAGAAAAAAGATGTCTTCGGAAAACTTCTTGCATGCAGAATTGAAAATTAATGATTATTCCATAATGTACAAATATGAATATGGAAAAAGATGACAAGGCAGATAAATTAAGAGTTATTTGTAAACTACCGTTGTGCAGTCCTTGCATATGCCCATCCCGGTAGATGATCCACTGCTAGATAAACAAGGCGGCTGAAAAAGAGTGCTTTATAGTTAATAAACACTATTACTGAACATTTTGGGTTAAATAACTAGAGAATAGTTGCATTCCTGAAAAACTGGATATACAGAAAGGAATGTTGAGTGCAAACACTTTCTAATCACTCGAATTAGATTTTGTTCAACCCAGTGTGTACAAAGAACAATCACTACTCAAATGCTGTGTCTGATCAAATGTACCATTAGAATGTGATAAACGGAAAATAACTGCACCTGATCATCAGGTGGACAAAAACTCCCATTTATAAATTTACGACAGCAACCAAAAGCTTCTGGTGATATCCAAACCAAAAAATCATCAAGCCATGAAGCAGCAGGTTTAGCTATGTAACTTGATTCAGGTATTAGTGATGCTCTTGAAATCTGCAGTGAAGAAAAATTTCAGCTCAATCACTTGCTCAGAAATTACATGTTAACTTACCCAAAATAAAGGGGATACATACAAGAGATCCCTACTTCAGTGCCAATTTAAGTCATAATGGGAAGATAGTGAACTACTCGCCCTTGGCAGAGTAGGATTTTTTCTTGTCCTTGGCAGAAATGGAACTTTGGTGTTTGGCCTTGCGAAAAACACATGAATTGACTCCAAAATTATCGATAATTTATCAATGAATATAACACCTCTATTCATACCAGTCCCATGAATTGTGGTGACCTAGTTAATAGAGTTCTAATATATTGCACTATTGCTATTAGGAATATTAATTACAATAGAAGAGTAGTGCTTAAAGGAAACTAATGTTCGTTACTAAGAATAATAATAGGACCAATTGCGTATAATTATAAGGAATTAATACTTATATTACGGAGTATACTATATTATTATTATTATTACAATTATTATTATAGTAGTAATATTGAATCAAGCTCATATCATTAGACTGGCATCAATATTTGAGTACTAGAACAATGCAAATCCTTGAGTTCCACTACATCCATGAAATGCTGAGCCTTTCCTTGAAGCCCATTATGAAGACTCCCCACTTGGGAAAGCAATGATACCAATGTAGATTAATGAATGATTGAAAGTTACATGCCCAAATTTGCAAAGGATATATGAACCTTACCTCATTCAAAAGAGAATCTGAATTACAATTGTTGATAGAGCATAACTGATTGGTTTGCACTGATTCAGCACTGTAGAAGTTAAACAACACTCGCATCAGCGCGTTGATGCCTACTACATCAAAGTGATCAAATACTGATATACAACCAGCAGTGGTATAGCTACAGTATTTATTTCATATGATTCACATGGAGAACGTATTATAAGATGAACATTCTAAAAACGTCACGATCATATGTTATTTCCATATGCATCAATAATGTCATGAGACCGCGAGCTGAGATATTGAAGGGCTTCTGGCATGCAACATTGCCACTATGTTCTTTAGGAACCTCTAAAGTTATATTTTTACGAAGTTGATATAGTTTATAGGCACTATAAATGTAATCAATGCCACTGGCCCCAACTAGTAGGGATTAAGGTGTTGAAAATGATGATGATGACACAAGGAGAAAGTGATTTATGATTCATCATAGATATGGCATGGTGAGAATGACCTAGCGTTGTGTGAGAGGAATGCTTTGCAATCAATGAATTTATCATTGTACTCAATTTCATGTTTTTGTTCCTCTACACGTTTTTCTGTTCTGAAATGTAGGGGTTTTTTGGACTGCAGATAACAATAATGTTGGGAACATGAGCATAAAGATTAGAGGCATGAACATAAAAATGCCATGTGTAGCTTTTCAGTACAGAACAGGGAGCATATTCAACTACTTCATCCCTATTCTAGCGTCTGGTTTGACCGGGCTCAAACTTTAAGAAAATGGAAACTAAAATTTCTTTAGAGATAGAAATTATGTGAACCAAGGAAATGAGTGACACCTTTGGCACGGACGAAGAAGGAAAACATGAGGTTTATTTAGGGACATAGATGTTAGAGTGCATCCCACATCGAAAGTCCAAGAGTAAAATAATCGGTATATAAGCTCTTGAGTTGTACTAACTAATCGATTGGATTCAATCTTTTAATGTGGTTCAGCTCAAGTGTCTTATTACCCAACCAGTTATCTCTACCCCATCCTAAATCCTAAATTTATCAATAGAGAGTAATAAACTATGCATACAATACATAGTAATACACTACAGAGTACAGAGTAATAACTACTGAAAAGTTCTGCTTCAAGACATTTCATTGAAGTAGACAGAAAATAAAACGTTTAAGAGTTAAAGAGTACCTATAATTGTAGTTTTTCAGCACAAAGTACAATGGAGGTCCGATTCTGAGATAATCAGATATATTATTAAAATAACCCTGCATGGAATAGAATTGGACCATTAAGCAACAATATTTGGCAAGGGATAAGATATTGTGAAATGAATGACACAGGTAGCCTTAATCAGCATATCATACCTGGAGGTATGAGTCTCTGGGAAGAACAACTTGCTGTTCCAAACCTGGCTCAATCCTTGCGCATAATGCCTTTGATAAAGGAAATATTATGAACAATCAAATTTGTCATAAGAAAAATAGTATCATATAGGAGTGCAACTGAAGAAAGAAAAAGAAACCACTTACAATGCTTGCCATTGCAATAGCAGAAAATATGGATATCACTGCTACTTTTACTCCCCACATGCTTAAAATGCGCGCATGAACATCCTAAAGTGAAACATAACATAGTAAATAAAATAAAAGATATAAAAGAATGAAAACATTCAGAAAAAGTGTGATAGACTGAAAGAGAAACTGAAAATCAGGAAAACACTCCCACATAAGTTCAAAAGCTACTCACAGGAGAAAACATTCAACAAAAGTTTCACGTTTAGTTCCACAAGTTCTTTTTCTCCACTTATGAATCATTTATGGGAGTGAAAAAAAAAGTAAAACTCAAACAATTAATAAACATTGATTTCCTTTCACTAGAATTTTGAAGTTGATTTCTTCTTTTCTTGTTACAAGGTTCCGTGCAAGTTTAAGCTATGAGTCATATTACAAATCATACAACTTCTGGACTCAAATGGCAAGATGGTAAAAGTGTGATACTTATGAATTTTCCATACCTTCATATATCGAACCAAGAATCCAGGTTTTCTTTGTTGATTACCTAACATACCATACAGTATACAGTCAGGCTAGGCATTGATAATAGGGGAATGTAGAAAATTTCACTTAAATACCTATGTCATGATCAACATTTGACCCAGAAACTTTAATACATGGAAAACAATCGATTCGGTTATCTTCTGCTCTCAGAAAATCAAAGGCAATTAAGGCAACGAAAGCAGTAACTTGCAGAAGGAAGTCTAACAGAACAGCCAATGCTACAAAAAAATCACAGAGAGATTGACAAAAACATTAACATATAATCCAATTTATCACATATCCCAAGGAGCTTAGATATAAGCAGCTCACTAACCTGCAAACATGGAGAACACGCGGCATGCTGGCATTGGAATGAAACTTCCTACTGCAAATGCCAAGACCTCTGCTAGACTAGCTAGGGTTATAGATGGACCAACTTCTACAAGCGCGTTGCTGATTCGCCCATCTAAAGGCAGTTCTAATGACTGTCTTTTAACTGCATGCACCAATATGCACATATTATCCACCCCAACCTGAAATTTATTATAAATAAAGTCAATTATATTTGCAAAGGCATCAATGTTTTGCTTTATGCTAACAAAATTTCAATTTAATCTGATATATTCTAGTCAAATCAGATAATTGAAGGAAAAAAGCAATAGATCATACCGCCAACACAAGGAATGGGATAACTTCCATTATGATAAGTGTTGATTTTACTCCTATGGCACTGAAGAAACCAACTGATCCGAGAACAGAGAGCATGACTAGAACAATGCCAGAAAGGCCAAGCAACACCTAAAACAGAACCTTTCAGTAAATGGCATGAAATTTGCATTGCTACTCAATTGTCTAAAATTAGTTCACCCTATATAAATTCATACTAAACCACATGTGTAGAGGTTTTATGTAGGATGTCTTCCGTGCTGCAACCTCATAAAGAAGGAATTGTGAGATGAAATTTCAAAAAAGTCATCAACATAAGTTTTCTCCATTTGCATGGAAAATATCGATAGTTATGTCCCATGAAAAACAGGGGTAGGGAGTCATCATGTCACATGTGTACCGCAAAAAATGTACTCATCAAAGCTTTCTCAATTTTGAACAATTAGATTCAAGATAAAATGGTTGTGATCATTCTGGACTCCATTTAATGCTTCATTAAAATTTGCAAGCACTTACTTTTCAATTATAAAATAGTACCCATAGTAAAATCTTCCTTAGCAAATGCATAAATAAAACTGTTATCACTGTACCTTAGATGATATATAACATGAAGAGAAGCTTGAAATATCACCCAATGTCAAAGATATGTACGCAAACATCACAAGATAACTTATCTGAAATAAGAGAATGAAAAATTGATAAATATGTGTATAACTATATAAGCATATATGTGCAAGTACCCTATACATAGGATTTCATATGTTTGAGGAACAAAACATAAACATATGAAGTGGCAGAGAAGCTAGAACAACATAAAGAAAATACTTGAATTAAAGAGTCTAAGGAAACTCAACCCACAACCAAGGAAATACAAACTTTATCCATTTCAAGAAATGAAGATTTAACCCACAATCAAGGAAATACAATACCCTATACCAAAATGAGCATGAGGTGGCAGAAAAAGTCTTACCACTATAGTTATAACATCAGCAGTCGTTTCTCGCTTCAGTTCTTCCTCAATAGAGCTTTCTGATGAGAATGATAATGTCAAACCCTTTGATCGAACCATTGGCAAAATTTCATCCTGTTCACATGTTTGGTTAAGTACACATTCTAAGAAATGTCAATTTGGAGCATGAGTTTTATTACTCTCTCTGTTCACCAAAACCATTCTTGTTTACTATTCAAAGGTGCTCGATAACTTTTGTTTGCGTGTTTTTTATTAGTCATTCGATAAAATAAAATATTCTTGTCACCACTTGTTTTGTAGAACTTTTGATGTAGTTTTTAAATAAGTTTTACCTATTATTTTTATACCAATTAATAAATATAATCATTTTATTTTAAAAAAGACAGGATTTTGCCCGTAAAAACGAAATAGGAAGAGTTTTGGGGAATGGAGGGAGTACTAAATAAAATAAAAATCAATATGCAAAGATATGTTGCTACTTTGATTATTGTAACTTAGCATGCTCTCCCAGACAACAACAACCCAATAAGGTCTTTCACTCGAAGGGGGGAGGGTCAATGTACGCGGATATTACCCCTACCTATAAAGAGACCAAAAAATATTGTTCACAAAAAAACTCTCGCTCAAGATTCAGTGTAATATACATAGTTTCCCTATAAGGTATTCCTAAAATTAATAGATAGCACATAGAAGAATGTATAAGCAGAATCCTATGAATTTCTTATTTATCAATATCATTTGACAAGCATATCATAAAATAAGGCATGTGATGAATGATAAATACTGCAATTAAAAGTTACCTTCACTAACTGGATGAATTCCTTCTCCCAGGCAACGGCTCTTTTAGTATCATTGCTTTCTCTATTAATTGCATTATTCACAGGATACGTTACAATAAAAGCAGAGGCCTGTACCAGAAACAAATCTCAAAAACTACATATAGGCAATATAGCTCACTAAAATATGTAAAACTCAAGTAAACAAAGGATTACCTCCGAGTAATTGTTACCAGAAAAGCCACCAAGAGCAGTGGATGGATCAAGGGGGGCTTTAAATGCACTCATGCAATTCTCCGCTGAAGTATAATGCTAAAGATAACAGAAAGATTACTTTTCAGGTTATTATAAAAATAATTACTCCCTACAACCATATTTAATCTTCCCATTTCGGTTTAGGATGATTGACGAGAATTATTTTCAATTCAATTATTTAAATATTAAACTAAAATTAGAAAAAAAATATTTAAAAACTACATCAACAGTTATATTGAATAAGTGATGACATGGCTATTTTATTATTGAAGAATATGAGTGAGAAAAATAAGATATAGTTGACTCTATGAATGGTAAATGAGAAGACAAAAAAGGAAAGGAGAGTATTTCTTTGATAACTTAATACTTTTCAAGATGATTTTTTCGCTGAATGAAGGAAATGACTGCTGTAGTATCATGTCCATCACCAGATTAGGAAGGAGAAATTTTTATTTTAATTTCTTAAAAGGTGAGGATAGTACCTGAAAACAATACTGAAGGTGGTCAATACCCCCATACTCATCAAAATTTGTTGCATTCATCTTGAAATACTACAAACCAAATAAATTGAATTTTGTAATTGCTAACAAGTCCCATTGAAAAGATGGAAATGACACTGAGCAAAATGAATTGGCGAAGATAATCCCGATAACTGAAGCTAAAAATGGAATGATAAATATGCCACAAACAAATTACTGCATCTATTAGAGATCAAAATATTCTGAACATAGTTATAAAGAAAGGATATTCTATTCCACCCAAGTAGTCTGCATAGACAAATGCAAGAATAACAGAAGAGGATTGTGGCAGGCCCATAGAAATTATGAACTAAATCAAAAGTCTGTACAAAGAAATTATCAAATAGACTGAGATGGGAGGAGTGTTAGAAAAAATAAAGAAATATTGTAGGCTACACAAAGAAGAAAAGGAAGGGAAGAACACTTATATTTTGGAAGAGGAATTGTTCTCACTCAACTTGATGCAAATGACAATACAAAGGGGGCTATTTATACGTACTAATAGGACACTCTAGAATTTCGACATAGTTTTTATCTCCTTAGATTACAAAAAGTCATTTCTAGAATTCTATATTAATTTTAAGGACTATTCTAGGCTTTTCCATGTAATAGATTATCCAAGATATTTCTAGAACAAATGGAATCTAGAAAATTCTAAATTATTAATCAACAAGGAGTTCATTATTACATTTGATCTTCATCTTTTTCTTTTTTTGTCTAGCCATTAAAAACAGGGGGTGGGGTGTCATGCCACTATTCCTAATTCGCTACTAAGCATCCAAGCCAACATTTTGAAAGGTTCTTAGATATAGATGCACGTACATGTATCTGTGAGACCAATGCCCTTCAAAATTCTAAAATCTGTTAGACACGATATGCATCAAAGATAAGAATTATCCCGGAACAATGCAGTAGTTACCTGAAGAACACTTTGGGTAGCACAATCCTTGCCAAGTGGCTTCATACAAATGTCAGTTAGAGACACAACTGATCCAGAGTTATTAGCTTTGATCGAGTCTACCTATTAAAATGGGCAGCATCAATACACATTACACATGTCAAGAACTTGCGCATTATCATTAAAATTTGTAAAGCAAAATAATGACAAAGCTCATAATGACATGGCATTATATAATATACCTTCATATTGTATGGCAGTAAAACATACACATTTTTTTCATAAAAGGGAAACAAAATATATGTTTACCTTGTTTTGTATATCAAAAAGTAACATGATATTTTCTTGTGTGATAATAGTTGGAGGCTTCCCACTCTTTGCATCAGGTTTGGTTGCGATTATGATCTGCAAGATTGGTGTGATGTTAGTCTACTCACTCATCAAATGTAGTTTTACATGTCCCGATAAGAAGAAAAATAATCAAATGATATATACACCATCATAGAGGGGAAAGAGAGAACACTAGGCAGAAGAAATTTTGTTTGGAATATACACCTACAAACATGTCTTGCCACAATTTGAATAAATTATACACATAGCCTAGCGAAAATATAATGAGCAGGTTGAGACATTGTTAACTTAAAATGGAAAATAAAACATCACCTGTTCAATTCTGTAAAACGGAGCTAGGTGGCTGTCAAAAAACAGTTTCTCTTTTGCAGCTCTACTTCCATGGCCAACCCATAACTGCAGCAGTTAAGGGCTAAAACTAAGTATATTTAGACTAAAAATGTAATAACATAGATGCTAAAAGGTTCAAGAAAATGTGATAGGGCAATGCTAGGTGTACCGCAAAATGGGGTACCCCATTTGTACCCCAGGCATTCACAGACATACATGTGTTTGTGCCTGGGGTACCCCATTTTGGGGTACACCTAGGTTAATTCTAATTATGATGCAAGGAGTGATTCATAAAAATGTAAATCCATGGTCACAACTCCACAAACACTTCAACACCATCAAATGAACAGACTCGGCAAAATTAAACTTATACATTTACATTCCCAAACATGCTAATGAAACCAGCACTCACTCTCTGATGTAACCTTAAATTGATAAGCTGTTCAATTCCTCAGAAGTTAGATCTATAGCTACATTAGATGAAGTATTCATGTTCTACATTATAATGAAACCTGCTTTGTGTGGACATGTGATACATATAAATCCATATAGATCTCGATAATCCACATTTCAAAATCAGTTCACAGACATTATAGAAAATTTAATTTTACTCTCCAACATTACCCTTGCATCCATTCACTATTACTATATGTTTCCTACCAAAGCATCCTTCACAGCTTACAATCTCATTTTGGTACTCTTGCACAAAAGCTGAACATGCTTCAAGGGAAGAATGATATTCCACAAGGCACGTACGTATATAAACAATACACTTCCTATCTCCCGACCCCACTAGTGGGATTACCCCGGGTTTGTTGGTGGTGGTGTACTTCCTATTCCTAGAAAATTCTTGTGAAATATTGTTCATGTGCTCTAGAGTAATGGTTGAATCAGATACAAGAAATTAACATTTAACATTGAGCATTCGGAGTTCCCATAATATAATAGAAACCATATCAAATTTAGTAAAAGAAAATCAATAAATACTCATTGGTCATAATTAAAGAAATGGCTGTGTCATACCTTTTCAGGTCTTGTTTCAACTTTAAAACGAAGCAAACCCAAACAAAGTATCAGAATAATAACCAAGGATGAGCATAGAACAGCAATGGGATGCCTTGCAACCCATGTTCCGTATATCCTGAAAAAGAAACACTCCATATGACTTGGACTTGGTATATAAGTAATTTCTTTATGTTCCTAAACTGCGTAAAAGGTTTGAACACAAAAACAAATAAGGAAAGAGGTAGAGAATGATGAAATGGTTTGACCAATGAATAGTAACTACTTCCTCCATCCCAATATGTTTGTCAAGTATTTGTTTTTGGACTATCTCATTGTGTTTGTTCACTTTTCTTTTAGAGTAGTTTTAGGTATGCTTTATTGATTTTTTACCCTCAATTAAATTCTACCGCCATTAAAAAGTAAGGGCAAATTTGTAACACCCCAACCTTTATATCCATGTGCCCAAAAAGAATGTGGACTACCGAGGATAATCACTATTAACAATTTATTATGTGGTCACCTGAAAATTCTTGACAAGTATCCTTGCACTACTGAAAGTTGAACGCCACTTGACATTTGTGGTGCATTCTCAAGCATCTAATAAATTGAGAGAGAATGAGATGGAAAAACATGTCATATTTGTCTCATAACATCAAGTTTTCTAGTGAAACAATAAGGAAACACCCTCATAGCTTTTAGTAAACTATGAAAAATTTGATACATGTATTATGTGTACGTAGCCACTTCGCTCAAACTAAATGTGAAGGAAACTGAATGCACATGATTAGAGGATAGCTCAAAGGTTAAAAACTCAAACAATCAAATCAAACTAAAATTAGTTTGTAGGCATAAAATCCAAGATGTTGCATCTATTGATATGTTGACCAAAAAACTAACATAGGCATAAGTTGGTCTTTAGGCATAAAAGAAACAGAATGTGCATCTGTTGATATGTTGACCAAAATGCAGGTACCTGCATCGCCACATTCTCATCTTTTTGCTTGTTAATTTGGTGGATGACACCAGTATCAGGAGGACTTATCAATGGCTTTGTCTTGGAAACTGGAGTTCTTTCTTTTCTCCTATGAAGAAAACCCCATCCAAGAAAAAAGGAGACCAAGACGATGTAAGTTATTGCCACAGAAACTTCAATGCACTTTGCCTGCATTAATTAAAAGCATTAAGCCAAACAGATCTACATCAGTGGAGACTTGGTATAATTGAACAGATAGAGAAAATGTTTGATTTTGTATGTAAGATAAAACCACATTGTCCACATCTCCTATCAAGAAATCATCCTGTATGAGTGTGTACGCAATTTTGGAAATAAACAAATAAAAGAAAACTATAACTGGCCTTCTCTCACCTTGATAGAGCCTATTCTTACAGAACAAGATTCTTTCTTTTCAGCAGGTGGAGGGGCAGAACTTGAGCATGCAGGAGCCGAAGGGCAATCACCACAAGAACACCCCAATGAATTGTCACCACAGGAATATGCAGAAACATTCATTGTTTTCATTCCAGATGAATCGGGGGCCTTTGATACAAAATTAATTGCAAATGGAGATCCTGGCATTTCAAGTGCAGCTCTTCTACCAATAAATGCATACCACTCTGTCATGATCAAACCCTCTAGTCAGGATCCCATCAACTGTTTGCTATATGACAAGGATACATATCTAAATGGGAGAACATATCTTACCTCGGAAATTTTTAGCCCCTGCACCAATGAAGTCAATTGCTCGAGTGTTCATAGTCCCAAACTTTACCTCCTTGCAGGATTCATATAACCCCTCCCCGAAAGTGTCAGTTATAAAAAAATCAATACCATCTACAGTCAAGTTGCTTTTAACCTGAAAGTAACCAAGAGATTTATGGTACTCTTGTCAAAAAATGATCTGCGACTAGTGAGTGATATTTGACAAGTGATGCATCATTGAAGCTTATCACAGTTCAACTTAATGAATGTGAGAACTTAGAGAACTCAAAAGGACGTAGCTATCAATACGCTAGCACACAAATTGTTGTGCATAATACACTAATATAAACCAGGTAAATAAGGACAATATGGTGCACAGGAGCCCCCACATATGACATATGCAAGGTCTGTGGAAGGGTTGGGCCATTGAGGCTTAAAGTACACAGCCTCCCCTCATGGCAATGGCTGTTTCTACCACTGTGCTAAAGCTCCTCTTAAGATTAATATACTCCGTAACACATATAAATATGACTGAAAAAGGTAATCAATTGAACGTTGGTGGGGAATTGATTAAAGAATGAATTAAAAGGAATGTGACAGCTAACCTTTGAAACAGATGTAACATTTATAAATTGACTCTGGTTTGGAGAACAAGAAAGTTCACAGAATAGATTTAAAAAGTTTCTCAAGCATGCTGGACAGCCAACAAGGAACGGGATTGCCTGCAGATGCGTGCAAAAGTGAATAAAGATACGCAGTGAACTAAATATTGAACTGGGAGAAATCAGTCATCTTACTTGCTGAACTTGTGATCTTAATATGTCAAATTGAGCCTCTGTGCAGCATACATTTCCAGTAATTGTTGGGCACAAGCTTTGGATCTTAGATGCAAGCAACTTATCTGGCTGTAAAGTTAAAATAAAATCATTTACATAGAAGTGCTCACAATCAAATCAAGTAAAAAAAAGGTAAAATGAAAGGAGTGTGCCATCTTCAATCACTATCCAGCAGTACATTATACATACCCTCACAGATGGGGAACCAAAGGGGCAATTCAGCATTTTTCCATCTGTACGTTTTCCACAAATGTCATACATGGCGCAATACCCTTCCGAGTGTCTTTGCCTATCCATGTAAAATAATGGTGAA